CGGGCCACACCCCCAAGGAGACTCCCTTTCATCTGATTGGCTACTCACAGTATATCCAATCATGGGAGTGATTACATTAAAACACGGAGAATCATGGCCCAGCCAAGCTGACACACAGTCTTAACCATCACAGTATCCCAAGCACTATACAAAGCATTTTATAACACATCAGCTCACCTAAGAATTAACTCCACAGGAGATGCCTGGGCATGCATATGGGTTACTCTCTTGAGTGTTGACTTTTTCTGAGAGGATTGAAAGAAGGACCGATAGGAAGTTCAACACTCCTAGGTAGGGTCTCAGATAGCCCAGGACTGAGAGGGTTTCTTGGGATGTGGGACCGTTAGTGCTAAAACCAGGATGAGTTGGTTACACCCTGCTCTTAGGAACAGCAGAGGCTGCCACGAGATATAATAGTTGATTTCAGATATATTATCCTTGTTGAGATTCCAGATGGTGCTGTGAGATCCAATATTTTTTATTTCTTAATTTTTATGTCACAAAAGATAAATTCCACTTTGTCTTAATTTTCTAGTGCTGCTGTAACAAATACCACAAGTGGATGGCTTTAACAAACAGTTTATTCTGTCACAGTCTAGTAGACTAGAAGTCCAAATTCAGGGCATCAGCTCCAGGGGAAGGCTTTCTCTGTTGGCTCTGGAGGAAGATTCTTGTCATCAATCTTCCCCTGGACTAGGAGCTTCTCCTCGCAGGAACCCTGGGTCCAAAGGACGTGCTCTGCTCTGCCCATTGCTTTCTTGGTGGTATGAGGTTCCCCCCCCCATCTACTCACTTCCCTTTCCTTTTATCTCTTGTAAGATAAAAGGTGGTGCAGGCCACACCCTAAGGAAACTCCCTTTACATTGGATCAGGGATGTGACCTTAGTAAGGGAGTTACAATCCCACCCTAATCCTCTTTAACAAAAAATTACAATCACAAAATGGAGGACAACCACACAATACTGGGGATCATGATCTAACCAAGTTGACACATATTTCTGGGGGACACAATTCAATCCGTAACACACTTCATGAAGGAAAAAATAAAATTAATCCAAGAAAAAATAAAATTAATCCACAGTGCTAGGCACTGTGAGGATATTGTGGCTGCTGGGATGCAATTTGGCTTCAAATTACTCTCAGTTCAGCTTACTGGTTTTTTTCTTCTCTTCAATTTATTAGAAAAGGAACATAGCATGGAATTGAAATGCAGGGTATAGACAAATTGAATTTCAATCCCTGCCTTGCTACTTACTAGTTAGCAAGTTATCTTCATTCTCTTTCTCTAAAAATGGGGTTAATAGTAGCTATTGCACTAGGTTGTTGTGAAGATTAAACAAGGTGTGTGAAGCTCATAGCCCAGTTGCTAGCAGAGTAAGCAAATGTCAGTCATTATTATTAGGATATGGGAGAAGGGTGGAAGGGGAAGCCATCAGATCGACATAACATTTGTCCACTACTGTTGTTAGGTGCTGTTGAATCAGTTCCAACTCAAAGCGACCCTATGTACAACAGAATGAAACACTGCCCGGTCCTGTGCTATCCTCACAATTGTTGCTGTGCTTGAGCCCATTGTAGCAACCACTGTGTCAATCCATGTTGTTGAGGGTCTTCTTCTTTTTCACTGACGCTTTACTTTACCAAGCATGATGCCCTTCTCTAGGGACTGATTCCTCCTGATAACATGTTCAAAGCATGTGAGATGCAATCTTGTCATCCTTGCTTCTGAGGAGCATTTTGGTTGTACTTCTTCCAAGACAGATTTGTTCATTCTTTTAGAAGTCCATGGTATATTCAATATTTTTCGTCACCACCACAATTCAGAGGTGTCCCCAGAATAAAAGCAATGGCAGGAGTAACAAGCCAGAACTGGCAGGGGGAGCTGTGAGCGGAGGGGTGTCTGTGTGTGTGTGTCTGTGTGTGTGTGTGAGTGACCAGGGGAGGGGCGCGCACAGCAGGGAAGTCCACCCTCTTTTCACACTTGAGCTACCCACTCTGTTCTTCCTGTGGGATTATGGCTCAGGACAAGAGGCAGCCAAGATCCCAGGAAGCTGTGCACTGAGAAACCGCCTCCTCCGCCCCAGGGGGATGCCACGTGGAGCGACCGTCACACCGGCCACTGCGTCTGTGCCCATGAGAGAGGGGGAGGGCCTGGCCGGGAGGCGTGGGGGTAGGCCGGAGGTTGGGCCATTATTCACCAATAGAAAGTAGGAACCAAGCGGCTTGTGTCCACAAATTAACCAATCACATTTTTTACTCCGAAATCCCTCTGGCTTTGGAGTAGGGCCGGCAGATTGACGGGGTGGGCGGGTTGGATCACATGATCCAAAAAGATAAATAAGGCCACGTGGTTTTTCCTGGGGTGCCCCAAACTGCTGGGCCGCAGTGTACTTCCCTTGAACAATTATTGAATGAACGTATGTGAAATTCTAGGCACTGTGAGGATATTGCGGCTACTTAGATGCAATCCTGGCTTCAAGTTACTTTCAATTCAGTTTATGGAGTCCCTGGGTGACCCAAAGACAGGCCTGGCCATCTGCTTCCAAAGGATTACAGCCTTGAAAACCCTGTGGAGCAGTTCTACTCTGCACACATGGGGTTGCCATGAGTCAGAGTTGACTAGATGGCAACTGACAACAATTATTATCTTGAAAGGATGCCAGTGTGACAAACCAATACCCAAACCCCTTGGCATTGAGAGGATTCCGACTCATAGTGACCCTATAGGACAGGGTGGAACTGCCCCATCGGGTTTCTTAGGAACGGCTGGTGGATTTGAACTGCTGACTTTTTGGTTAGCAGCCAAGCTGTTAACCACTGTACCACCAGAGCTCCATTGGACATACCTGGTCAAATCCTGACTTCACCATCTGTGTGATCTTAGGCAAGTGACAACTTCTCTGAGTTTTTAGTTCCTCGCCCATAAAATGGGGGCAATAATATCAGTAATTGATGAACTGATAATATCATCAGTCTCACAGAGCTGATTTGACTATGTTCTATAGACAGAAAAACAGTCTGCAAACATGAGGTCTTTCAACAAGGTGCTTTAATGGAGAGCAAAGTGTAAGTGAAGGCAACAAGAAGACTTTTCAGAGGCGACACTCAGCTCTGACAGTACTTGGAGTCCAAGTTTTTGTATTCCTTGTTATATGGGGCCTTTGAAAAGCAGATGGCAGCATTGCGGTCACAGTTGCAGAGGAAAGCCTCACATTCTTTGTTGCTGCCTGGAGAGGGGCGAGAGGAGAGGACTGAGCAAAGGCAGACCCTGGGTTTAACAGCCCAGGGGCAGAAAGGCAAAAATTTAGGGTTAAATGAGATAGATCTGATATTCACCATGAGTATCATGTAGAGCTCACCTTGAGCTCTACATAGTGATTAAGACCAGAGCCTTTGAAATCAGATGCAGCTGGGTTCAAATGCCAGCCCTGCCACTTATAAACTGTGTGGTTTTGGGCAAGTGACTATCTTTGAGCCTCAGCTTCCTCACCTGTAAAATGGGCATAATAAAACCTATCTTGTATACATGATTAGCTCCGTACCTGGCGTGTAATAAGGGCCTAATAAATGCTAGCTCTCAGCAATTTTTATTAAATAAGGAAGCATGGCAGTTAAGAGCAGAGATTTGGAGTCATACAGACCTATGATCAAAAACCAGACACCACCACTGGAATGATTTGGAAAAGGATAGGGAGAATGGTTGCACAACTTGAAGAATGTAAACAGTATCGTTGAATTGTACATGTAGAAATTGGTGAGATGGTGTTATGGACTGAATTGTGTCCCCCAAAAAATATGTATTGTATCATTCTAGCCTCTATGCCTATGGTTATAAGGAATGGATTGTCTTTGTTATGTGAATGAGGGAGGATTAGTGTAGGGTGCATTTTGAGTCAATCTCTTTTGAGATACAGAAGAGATTAAACAAGCAAGTAAGAGAAGTGGAGATGGGTGAAGAGAGATGCCAAGACACATGAAGATTGCCCAGGAGCAGAAGCTCAGAAGAGACAAGGACCTTCCTCTAGAGCCGACAGAGAGAAAGTCTTCCCCTAGAGCCAGCACCCTAACTTCAAAGTCCTAGCCTCCTAAATTGTGAGGAAATAAATTTCTGTTTGTTAAAGCCACCCACTTGTGGTATTTCTGTTATAGCAGCGCTAGATAGCTAGCACAGATGGCATGTTTTGTTACATGTATTTTCGCCACAATAAAAAAAAATAACAAACACCACCACATATGAGCTACCTTAGGACAAATGACTCAGTCTTCTGAGCCTGAGTTTTCTCCTCTGTACAATGGAGATAATAATAGGCCCTATCTCCTAGAGTTGTTGTAAGGATTGAAGAAGAAAGACACTGCCCGGCACTAAGACAGGGATCAATAGATAGTGGCTATTATTACTCTTATCTCCTCCCCCCAACACATACACTGAGGGTCTAGAGGCTGATGAGGGCTCAACCTACTGTTACAAATGATTTCAGAGCCGGAGCATGTGTATGAGTAGATATTGGTGTAGGGGTTGTCCATGAGGAATGTACAGCTTTTCAGGTTCTTGACCTGACCGTAGCAGTTGTCGTGTATCTGGCAGCACCTGGAGGGGGTGGGGAAAAGAACTGAGACAGAAGCTTAGGGCCAGAACAACAGGTCCTGCTCTCTCTCAGGACCAGGCAGAGGTGACTCTGCTGAGATGCTCCGAGACAGATGGTTCTGTGGCTTGAAAAAATCTAAGTCCTTTTAGCATATGTTTGTTGAAAGTTATTTTAAAATGGTCGCAGGAATCCAGTAGAAAACCATATATTCTGAAGATGCAGTGATAGTTTTAACCACAGCTAGAAGACGCTTGGATTGCTGCTGCGGTTGTGTGTTGTGGTTCTCTGCCGCTAGGGAGCAGCATGATCCATCGCCGACGTTCCTTCTGTCTTCCATCTAATAGAAGCATTGGATACAGGGTCCCCTTGCAACATATTTCTTTATGTGGCAAGAGGTGGAAATATGTTATCCTTAGCAAGTATGCAAATCCCCTTCTTGTGCTTCTCTTTGGTGCAACGTGAGATTCTTGGCTTGTGCCCATCCGCTACCCCACCCCTCACCTCAACAGACTCTCCAGTTTCCCTCCAGATGACTCACCTGTCCAGTTCATCCACCGGGGTGCCTGATCCGCCGAGGCCACAGAAGCAGCCGTAGTTGTTGTACTCTTTCAAGGGATCACTGTCGGGGATCACGCACTTGATCATGCTGCGGAACTGCCATACTGCCCTTGGGCTCACGGCAGCACCCACTGCAAGGAGAGACACAGCCAGAGTTCAAGTCTGGCCTGGCTGACTCTGCCAGTGCCCTGTGGGCCCACACTGCCTGCTCTCTCAAGCCTCTTGCTGTCCCCTTGCCAGCTGTCTCCTTGGAAAAGAGTTGGCCACAAGGAACCTGGTAAAGTGAGTTTTTTTTTTTTTTAATGAGAATATTTTAAAATATTTTTAATGAGATAAAATTCACATAACTTACCATTTTGACTATTTTAAAGTGTAAAATTCTGCGGGCATATTCACGGAGTTGTACAATCGTCACCACAGAACCCATTGCGGTAGAGTTGATTCTGACTCATAGACCCTATAGGACAGAGTAAAACTGCCCCATAGGGTTTCCAAGGAGCACCTGGTGGATTCAAACTGCCGAGGTTTTGATTAGCAGCCGAACCCTTAACCACTATGCCACAAGGGTTTCCACTGCCACCACAGTCAATTTTAAAATATATTCACCAGTTCATAAAGAAATCTCATACCCTGTAGCTATCGCCCTCCCAAAACTCCTTCCCCCCAGCCCTAGGCAACCACTAATCTACTTTCTGTCTCTATGGATGTGCCTCCTGTGGACATTTTATATAAATTGAATCATACAATATGTGGCCTTTTGTGTCTGGCTTCTTTCACTTAGAATAACGTTTTCTGGGTTCATCCATGTTGTAGCATGCATCAGTACTTTATTATTATGGTAAAATAATATTCCATTGTATGGATATACCACATTTTGTTTATCTATCCATCTGTTGATGGACATTTGGATTGTTTCTGCTTTGGGGCTATTGTGAATAGTGCTGCTGTGAACATCCATGTACTAATTTTTGTGTGAATGTATGTTTTCAATAGGGATGGGTTGCTATGAGTTGGAATCGACTTGACAGCAACGAATTTTGTTTTTTATTCATTCATTTATCCAGCAAATATTTATTGAGCACCTACCGTGTGCCAGGTACTGCCCTGAGAGCTAGAGATAAAGCTGCTTAAAAATTAGACAAAAATCTCTAATCTCATGGAGCTTACGTCTCACGGTAATAAATTGAGGTACAGCCATACAGTGGAATACTGTGCAGCCATTAAAATGAATGAAGCAGGTGTCCCTGTCCTGATATGGAATGATCTTCAAGACAAAGTGAAAAGGCAAGGCAGAACTGTGTGTACCTCCTGCTGCCATTTGTGGGGAAAGTATCTAAAATGTAGATTAGTAAATATATCTGGAGAGAAATAAGAAAGTTGGTAATCATGGTTGCCTCTGGGGAAGAGCATCCGGTCAACAGGGAAGAGGGAGCAGAGGAGAAAGGAGATCTTGAAGGAGCCAGAGAAGGAGTAGCTGGAGAGATAGGAGGGAAGCCAGAACGATGAGCTACGATAGACACATCCAAACTCCCTGAGGGACCAAATTACTGGGCTGAGGGCTGGAGACCTTGGTCTTGGGGAACATCTAGTTCAATTGGCATAACACAGTTTAGAAAGAAAATGTTCTGCATACTACTTTGGTGAGTAGTGTCTGGGGTCTTAAAAGCTTGTGAGCAGCCATCTAAGATGCTCCACTGGTCTCACCCCATCTGGAGCAAGAGAGAATGAAGAAAACAAAAGACACAAAGGAAAGATTAGTCCAAAGGACTAATGGATCACAACTACCATAGCCTCCACCAGACTGAGTCCAGCACAGCTAGATGGTGCCCAGCTACCACCACAAACTGCTCTGACAGGGATCACAATACAGGGTCCCGGACAGAGCTGGAGAGAAATGTAGAACAAAATTCTAACTCTCTCTCTCTCTCTCTCTCTCTCTCTCACACACACACACACACACACACACACACACGATCAGACTTACTGGCCTGACAGACTGGAGAAACCCTGAGAGTGAAACCCTGAGAGTATGGCCCCTGGACACCATTTTAACTCAGTAATGAAGTCACTCTGGAGGTTCACCCTTCAGCCAAAGTTTAGACAGGCCCATAAAACAAAACGAGATTAAAGGGGCACACCAGCTCAGGGGCAGTGACGAGAAGGCAGGAGGGGACAGGAAAGCTGGTAAGGGGGAACCCAAAGTCGAGAAGGGGAGAGTGTTGACATGTCATGGGGGTGGCAACCAATGTCATAAAACAATATGTGTATTAATTGTTTAATGAGAAACTAATTTGCTCTGTAAACCTTCATCTAAAATACAATCAAAAAAAGAAGAAGAAGGATGAGCTATCAGGAGAGGTGAGAGATAAGCAAAAAGTGTGTTCTTGAATAGGAGACTGGTTCCCTAGGAGCTCAGAAAATTACCAAGGGAGGGAAATCAGTAGTCCATTCCAAGGCTAGGTCCAGGTGGTTCTCCTCACTGTAACTGAAACCTGGTCATCACCCATAGGCCCCCCCAGCCCCAGCAGTCCCACATCCATTCAGCAGCCCCTCCTCTGGTTTCTCCCTTCAGTGTGTCTCTCTGTCAGCTCATCTCCTCATTCCCACTGCCTCCATCCCTGCCCAAGCCACCACCATATCTTGCCTCCATGGTGACAGAAGACTTTTTTTTTTTTAATTGTTGTGCTTCAAGTGAAAGTTTACAATTCAAGTTAGTCTCTCATACAAAAATTTATATACACATTGTTCTGTAACCCTAGTTGCTCTTCCTGTACTGTGACAACACACTCTTTCTTTCCCTCTCTGCCTTCTCATCTTACCCGTGGACAGGAGCTGCCCGTTTAGTCTTGTGTATCTATTTGAGCTAAGAAGCACACTCTTCACGAGTATCATTTTATGTCCCATAGTCCAGTCTAATCTTCTGAAGCTTGGTCTCGGGAATGGTTTTAGTTTTGGGCTAACAGAGAGACAGAGAGTCCGGAGGTCAAGTCTTCCGAGGTCCCTCCAGTCTCAATCAAACCATTAAGTCTGGTCTTTTTACTAGAATTTGAGTTCTGCACCCCACTTTTCTCCTGCTCCATCAGGGACTTTCTGTTGTGTTCTCTGTCAGGGCGGTCATTGGTGGTAGCCGGGCACCATCTAGTTCTTCTGGTCTCAAGCTGATGGAGTCTCTGGTTTATGTGGCCCTTTATCTGTCTCTTGAGCTAATACTTTCTTTGTGTCTATGGTATTCTTCATTATTCTTACTCCAGGTGGGTTGGGACCAACTGATGCATCTTAGATGGCCACTCACTAGCTTTTAAGACCCCAGATGTCACTCACCAAGGTGGGATGCAGAACATTTTCTTAATAAACTTTGTTACGCCAATTGACCTAGATGTCCCCTGAAACCATGGTCCCCTGGCCCCTGCCCCTGCTACTCTGTCCTTTGAAGTATTTGGTTGTATTCAGGAAACTTCTTGGCTTTGGTTTAGTCCCGTTGTGCTGACTTCCTCTGTAGTGTATGGCAGTAGACTCTTAACTGGTCACCCAGCACCCACGCTCACCGCCTTTTGATCTACTACGCATAAGTTGCCAGACTTCTTTTTTTAATTAAAGTTGAATCTTGTTATTTCCCTTTACGACCCTTCAGTGGATGCCCCCTGCACTTTGAATAAAATCCAAATTCCTTATTCCGTTCAAGAAGGCCCTTGAGATCTGGCCTTTGCCCATTTCTCCTATTTCATCTCACACCACCCTCCTCCCACTCACTTCAGTACAGTCAAGTAGCCTCCTTTCTGGTGTGTGCATGGGTGGGTGTTTGTACTCACTCTTGGGCAGGGAGGCTGGCATCTGCATCTCTGAGTCTTTGGTCTCAACCCACAGGAGCCAGACAGCCTGGAGACCTCCCTCAATGTTGAATGAATGAACAATGAATGAATGAGGTTGGACTTGAATTCCAATGTGTCTGATGCCACTAATTCATTCAACAAAGGGTGCAAATAGCTCTATCCCTCCTCTTGTGGAGCCCATGGTTCCTTTCTTCCTTTTGGGTAGAAGAATATGGATAACAGATACGGAAGATAAGAATTATAGGCAGAGGTAGGTGCTGGGGGGACGCTATGCCAGGGCAATATGTAGGGAGGGAAAGGCAAAGTGGCTCTCTCAGCTCGGGTGGTCAGAGTAGGCCTTTCTCAGATGGGTCATCATGGGGGCAGGGGATTTGAGGAAAGACGGGGGAACCCCAAAATGGGGTTCTTAAGCCCTATGGGAAGCCCCAGATGAAGACTCCAGATCTGGCCAGCCCTGTCTACTGTGACCTGTGGCCCCCGTTCCAGAGAAGTGAAACCTTAGTGAGTGGAGAGGGTAGAGCTGGGAAGGTGCCTACCTGTGAGCAGAGCAGCCAGCACAAGGAGCTTCATCCTGTTGTCAGGGAGGTGAGTGGGAGAATGAACTGAAGGGGCCAGCAGCCTTCCTCCTTATAGCTTCCTGCTGCCCCCAAGATAAGGCTGTAGTGTTTGCTTTGCTCCCAGCCAGCTCAGGGTTGGCCTTGATTCTGTTGCTGTCATAACTGACCAACTTGCCAGCAAGAGGTCATTGGAAGCAGTGTGCACATTTGTCTTTAGCACCTTTTAATTACAGAGAGTTTGCAGGTCTTGGAATCTTGACCCTCACACCCTACCTCCTTGGACCCAGCCCAGCTTCATCACTGGGTGGCAAGGCTGCCAACTCCATTGGATGACCAGGAGAAGAGGGACAAGAAGGAAATGACTGGTACCTCTATGTCTCCTCATGTGCCTGGGTCTGTGCTGTGTGCCTCATGGAACAGTTCCATCAATCATGCACTTTGCAGATGAGAAAACAAGTTCAGAGAGATAAAGTTACTTGCCCAAGGTCAGACAGCTAGCAGATGGCAGAGTGGAGTTCAAACTAGGTCAGTCTGATGTTAAAACACACATTTTATTTTTTCCCACTGAACCAATACCACTCCCCTCCCTGACTCAGAGTGTGGGGTTTGTGAGGAGACCCTGGGCTTTGGAGCTCCGAAGACTTGGGTCTGACTTGTAGAATGGTAAAGGGTTTTAGAACTGTCAGGAATATAACAACCATATCCAATATCCATACAACATATTTTTTGAGGTAAAATGCACATAACAGGCAATCAACAGTTTTGAAGTGTGCAATGCAGTGGCATTTAGTACATTCACAGTGTTATGCAACCATCACCACTGTCTAGTTCCAGAACTTTTTCTTTTTTATTGTACTTCAGGTGAAGGTTTACAGAACAAATAGTTTCTCATTAAACAGTAGTATACATATTGTTTTATCACTTTGGTTAACAACCCCACGACATGTCAACCCTCTCCCTTCTTGACCTTTTTTTTTTTTTTTTGGTGAAAATATACGTAGCCGAAGATACACCATTTCAAAAATATCTACACGCACAGTTCAGTGACATTGACTACACTGCTATTCTCACTTTAGATGAAGGTTTACAGAACAAAATAGTTTCTCATTAAACAGTTAGTACACATGTTGCCCTATGACAATGGTTAACAACCCCACGACACGTCAACACTGTCCTTACTCAACCTTGGGTTCCCTATCACTAGCTTTCCTGTCCCCTTCTGCCTTCTAGCCCTTGTCC